GGATCACCTCCTTGGACCTGCTTGAGATGCATCTGTGGATGCATGACAAGGTGCGGTTGGCCTTCCTGACCGCGTCCCCACGCTGTCGGCCCATGTTCACCTTGGAGTCTATAATGACTCCAAGATCCTTTTCTGCCTCTGTGCTGGCGAGAGGGGAGTTCTCCAGCCTGTAGGTGTGCTGCTGGTTCTTCCTCCCCAGGTGCATTACCCTGCACTTGTCAGTGTTGAACCCCATCCTGTTCTCATCTGCCCACCCCTGTAACCTGTCTAGATCCACTTGCAACCTGTTCCTTCCTACTAGCATACTCACTTCACCCCACATCTTAGTGTCATCTGCGAATTTGAACAGGGTGCTTTCTACCCCCTCGCCCAAGTCACTGATGAAGATGTTGAATAGTGCGGGCCCGAGGACCAAGCCCTGGGGAACCCCACTGCCCACATCTCTCCAGGTTGAATAGGACCCATCCACCACCACCCTCTGGGTGCGGCCCTCCAGCCAGTTAGTGACCCATCTGACCAGGTAGGCATCAACACCACTGTCTCCTAGTTTCTTACTGAGAATGGGGTGAGAGACCCCACCTATGATCACCTTAAGGCCACCTACATGCTTTATAAATGGGGTAGAATCTGGCTTTTAATATTATATCGTTCACCTGCTTTCATAGATTCATAGATGTGAGGCTGGAAGGTTCCTTGGAAGATCATTGGGTCCATCCCCCCAGCACCAAGCAGGAAAGAGAACTGGAGTCAAGTGACGTCAGCAAGGTGACCGTTCAGTCTCCTCTTGAAGATTTCCAGGGTAGGTGATTGCACCGCCTCTGGAAGGAGTTTATTCCACAGTCTGGACACCCTAGCTATGAAGAAGCTATTCCTAATATTGAGCCTGAAATGGTCTTGTAAGTGTTTGTGACCATTACTTCTGGTTTTCCCCAAGGATGCCCTGTTTAATAGTTATTCACTGAGCCCTTGATGTGCACCCCTGATATGGCTGTAAGCTTCTACCAAGTCCCCTCTCAACCTTCTCTTTTTCAGGCTGAAGAGTCCCAGGTCCCTCAGCCTTTCCTTGTATGGCTTGCTGTGCATGTCTCTTATCATACAGGTGGCCCTTCTCTGGACCCTATCAAGCTTTTCCATGTTCTTGGTGAAGTGTGGTGCCCAGAGCTGGATGCAGTACTCCAGCTGTGGTCTCACCAATGCTGAGTAGAGCAGAAGAATCACTTCCTCTTTGGTTTTGCTGGAGATGCATTAATTGATGCACACCAGAGTATTATTTTCCCTGCTGGCTACAGCACTTCACTGATGGCTCAAGTTCATACTGTGGTCTGTTATTACCCACAGACCTCTTTCATCTGTAGTGCTGGTCAGATTGGCATTGCCAACCCTGTAGGTGTGTAGGGGATTGTTCATCCCCAGGTGGAGCACCTTACGTTTCTCAATGCTAAACTTCATCTGATTCCAATCCACCCAATTTGCTAGCCTGTCTAGGTCTGCCTTTATCTGCAGCCTATCTTCAAGTGTGACCACGTTTCACCATAACTTGGTGTCATCCACAAACTTGGCCAGTGAGCTCTTCACCCCCACATCCAAAACATTGATGAAGATGTTAAAAAATACTGAACCAAGTACTGGCTGCTGAGGGACACCATTGGCTACTTCTCACCAAGATGATACAGATGCATTCAGTAGGACTCTCTGGGTCCTACACCGTAGCCAGCTTCCTACCCACCTAACTGTCTCACAGTTAAGCCCACAATCTTCCAAGTTTCTCACAAAAACATCGTGGGATACCAGAGCAAAAGATTTTTGGAAGTCAAGGTATACAATGTCAACCTCCTTGCTCTTATCCAGGTGAGTTATCTGATCATAAAAGGAAATGAGGTTGATAAGACAAGACCTGCCCGCAATGAAGCCATGCTGGCTGTCATTCAGAATCCCAAAAGTTTTTGGGGAGAGACAGAGGTGGCATCCTGCCACAGATGCTGTCTCTTCCCAGGAGACCTCTCTCCCTGAAGTGTGTGCCATGGTCAAGGAAACCGAAGCCCTCTTGGTGACACCACTGTCACAGACATCAGTTCACTTCCTCTATGCATCCTTCCCTGTAATTTCCTATTACAGGTAGGCTTCCAAGTCATAAATTTGAAGTCTTACATTTCAAATAGTAGTCAGTATGCACATCTACATGTGGAATTAATGCACAGAAAGCTTACTGCACAGTAAAATACTGCTCAGTAAGCTTTCCCTGGGAGAGCATCTACACATGCATCTGTCAGGAGCAAATTTGCCCCCAACAGTAGCAGTTCAGGGCAGGGCTACTCCTGCCCTGCTCTGCTTCCATATGGCAGCCAGTGGGGGCTCTTGACTGCCCCCGGGGGCCG